AGAGAATACAACCTAATAAATTTGAATACTGACTGGTTTTTTGATATTAAAGAATTACTGGTTTTTCAAGTTTAAAAGTATTTAGAGACGTACACTGAAACATTTATGGGTAAAATAATATGATACTCAGGAGTTGCCTGAAAATAACATAGGGGTAAATGTGTAAGTGGAGGATGTTACAGATGAAATAAGATTGGCCAGAAGTTAATAATTGTTGAAGCTGGACACTCAATTGCTGTATATGTTTGAAGGTTCTCATAATAGACAGCTAAAATAAAAAGACTGATATTGAAACTAATTCATATAATCAATTAAAAATGATTAAGGCCAAATAAAAATTATTAAGAATGAATTATTCTTAAGGCAAATTATGTAAAAATGGCACCTTCATGACCAAGTGTGAAGTATAACTACTGTATATATATTTAGATCAAAGGTAGCTGCCCTGGCTGGGCACAGTGGCTCACGCCTGTAATCCTAGCACTCTGGGAGGCTGAGGCGGGAGGATTGCTCAAGGTGAGATCAGGAGTTCGAAACCAGCCTGAGCAAGAGCGAGATCCTGTCTCTACTATAAATAGAAAGAAATTAATTGGCCAACTAATATATATAGAAAAACTTAGCTGGGCATGGTGGTGCATGCCTGTAGTCCCAGCTACTCCAGAGGCTGAGGCAGCAGGATCGCTTGAGCCCAGGAGTCTGAGGCTGCTGTGGGCTAGGCTGACGCCACAGCACTCACTCTAGCCTGGGCAACTAAGTGAGATTCTGTTGCAAAAAAAAAAAAAAAAAGTAGCTGCCCTACTGCCAAATTAATAGTCTTAAGAAAAAAATCTGGCTTCTGTTTTATCTTATACATCATGAAAACAATTGGTTTACTCACTACTAATTGCTTCATCTGGCACTTTTCTTTATCCAGAAAATTAAGAAGATTTTAAATAGACAAGTTCAAGAATACTCTCTAATATTTATTTAGGGGATAAAATAAACAGATTTAATCTGTCAACAAATTATTTTAAAGTCCTGGCACCATGCAAATTACATTCTCAGGAAAATCAAAGCTCTCCAGAGAAGACTATACCAAAATAGGGTTATTTTTAGCCCTACAGGATCCTTTTGGGGGGGAAAAAAAGGTTAAATGGAGGAAAACATTGAATAGATTAGATGTTCTTCCAGAACACAGTAAAAGTCAATAGAGAATACTCAGAGCCAAGGAACCCAGGAAAGAATGTTTGGGCGGGGGGCTGAGTTTGAATTCCAGCTTGCTATAAAGCAGACTACTGAAATTCTATGAGTCTCTATTTCCCCTCTGGTAAAAGTGGGTTTTATACCCGCTAATCACAGGGCTCCAGTGACAATCAAATGGGTATGCGGCTGGTACCCAGGCAAACAGGGCCTCCCCTGGCCTTAGGCTGCCTTTCCAGCTCATCACAGCTCCTCTCTTCCCCACAGCCTGTCCCAGAGGTTGACTATCCTGCAACCAAGCTTTAGGAGGTCTGTATTTGGCTTGAATCACAGTGTTTTAAAAAATTTTTAATTAGCTATTACCAACATTTAAAAATCAGAAGAGTATAAATACAAATTTGGAAGTCTGCCTTCTTTTAGAAAATTACTGAGTGAAGTTCTGGTTCTCTGGGGCCCCCACCACTCTATGCCCTTATACCTGGCCCTGCAGGCTGGTTCCCAGCTCCACACTGAGCTAAGATCTTTCCTTGGCCCTGCCCTTTCACACTTCTGTGCCTCCCCCTGCCTGACAAATTTCTCATCACCCTCAAGGTCCACGAGCACAACCTGTCACCTCCTCCACATTTCCACGGCACAGCCCCTCCACTACAGGAGATGCCCTGCACTGTCCTGTGGCTGTCTGCATGCCTACTTTCCCCACTGAGCTCCTGGACTCTCTGGTGGAAGGGACTCTGTTGCTATTCCTTTCCCTAGGGCCTAGCATTAAGTGTGACCTAGAAAATGCAGAATTCAGGAAATGTCTCCTGAATGTGCGGAACAAAGCTCGAGCTAAACTATTACAAAAACATAATAATATTTTTATATCACAGCTTATTCTGACAGTTACCAAATAAACAGGTCAAGGACATTACAATGTTTCACAAAATGAGAAGCTTCCTTCTGCTTACAAGTTTCACAAGTTAGTCAGAAGTCACTACATGAAAGGTAAAGCAGAGACAACAAGCAGGTAGGGTCATTCCTTAGATCACTCATTCATTCACTGAAGTGATACTACTGAATACTTATGGTGTGCCTTGGACAAATCAGACAGCTACCTGTTTTCATAAAGTTACATCCTAGTGGGGGAGATAGAAAATAAACAGGCAAATAAACAGAATAGATTCAAACCAGAGTGAGTGCTAGGAAGGAAATTAAACAAAATAATGAAATAGAATGTCTAAGGGAAGAAAGAGGGTGATCAAGTAAGCCCTCACCAAAAATGAGACATCTGATAAGAGTAAGGAGTGGATAGAGTCAAAGATCTCAGAGACAACTCCAAAGATGGGAAATAGCAAGTGCAAAGGTCCTGGGGCAAATGGGGGTTGGCCTGTTTAAGGCAGGTGAGAGGATGAGAGGGAGGAAGAGCAGTGTTCTGGGGTAGGGAGGAGTGGTAAGGAAGGCAGGCAGTACCTGCTCTGGCGTTGCTGGGCATTTGTGCGATGACAAGGCACTGGAGGAGTGAGGGGGGAGAGGGCCTTGAGCGGATGGGGAGGGGGTTCCTATCACATTCACACCAGCAAGGGGAAGTATCCCGCCCAATTTTCCACAAATGTGCACTGGGCTCCTGCCCAGGTGCTTTCATACAGTCATACAACCCGACAACAACCCTGTCCAGAAGAGTAGACATGTCCCCATTTTCCCGAGGGAAAGCAGGATCAGTGCCTTAGCCAAGGCCGCGGGACCAGACCCGGCCCCTGGGCGCCCAGTGCAGGAACGCAGCTGCACAAGCAGATGGGATGGCGCCCACAGACCCCCAGGCAGGTCTGCGTGGCCAGGCCGGGGAGCGGGCCCGCAGCCCCGGGCTGCTGACAGCGGGTGGGAGGGGGCGACTGCCGCATCCGGGGCGCAAGGGCGGCGGCCGCCAGTGCCCCTAGGCCCCGGGCCCACCCCGCCGGCCCTCTCCTGCGGGGCCGGCTCGAGCAGCCCCCGCCGGGCCTAGCCCGCCCGCCGGGCTCACCTCGCCTCCCCGCCGTCGCGCACGGGGACAGGGCGGGCGGGAGGACTGGCGGCGCTGCGTGCTGCTCGCTCCCGGCTCCGCCGCCCGAACTCCGCTAGCCGCCCCACCCAGCTCCGCTCCGCTCCGCCCAGCCGCCGCCGCCGCAGTGGGTGTGAGGGGCGCCGGGGCCTTTGACCCTTCCGGTCCCGCTCGCTTCTCCTGCGCCGCCGCCGCTGCCTGGGCGGCGCCCGGCCTGACCGACCTGTCGGCCGACCAATCAGCGCGCAGAGAGCTGGGCAGGCGCGGCCAATCGCGCCAGGGGGCGGGTCGGGCCGGGGTTTGGCTGGCGGCGGCGTCCCCGGGACGCTCGGCCGCGCCGGCGGAGGAGCCACTGCGCTCTGGGCCGCGCCGGGCCTGCGTCCCCAGCCCCCTGCGCGCACGGCGCGGCCCGCTGTCCCGGCAAGGGGCCACCGCTGGCGGCCGGACGCAGAGCTGGGAGGCGGCGGCGAGGGCGGGCCGAGGGGCCCGGGACCCGGGCGGCGGGGCCGGGCCGCCGAGCGGTCGCCGAGCTCCGGGCTGCAGGCGCAGGCTCGCAGCAGGGAGGCGGCTTGGAGGAGGACGGGGCGCGAGCGAGGGGAGGTCGGGCCTTGGCGTCCGGGAGCCGGAGTGCAGTAGCCCTGGGAGGAGGAGGCGGCGGCGAGGGAGGAGGGAGCTGAGGCGCGGGCCTTGGATTCGGTTGCTCGTTGCGGCGCCACGGGAAAGGGTTTGTATGGGTGCGGCAAGAAGTCAGATTGTAGTGCGGGAGGGGATGCGGAGAGATGTGGGATGACCATGTGTGGACAAGTGGCCCCTGCTGGTCAGGGACTGGCAGGAGCGTGCGCAAGGTGGCAGGCTGGGTCAAGCTTCTGCCTCTGAGGCGCAGGAGGGCAGTCGCGGGAGGAGGAGAGGCGTGCCATGCTGAGGACTCCCTAGGGCCTGGGGTCCCACAGCCCTGAGCGGCCTTTGAGGCAACTTCTGGGCCCTCTCATCAGGTTCCAGCAGGCCTTGGGGGCATAAAAGATGATGGGGAGGCTGGTGTTTGGGGTGTCGCCAGATCTCCGTTTGACTGGTTTGACTGGTAAAGCTGGTAAAGCTGGATGTGAGGCCAGGGGGCTGGACATTTGAGGAAAAAGCTCAGAGATCTGAGGATGGGGTAGGGGAAGCCCTGTGGCCCTTGCTTTCCCTGAAACTGGTGGGCTCCTGCCTTCAGGGACTGGAAGAGTTGGGGGACAGTGGTTGACAACAATGGTTACTGTGGAGATAGAGCAGCAGTTACAGAATGCTAGGGTCCACGGAGTGGCCAGGGCCAGCCAGAGTTGGGGTAAGAGCAGGAGGACCTTGCAGATAGGGAGGTCAAGGAGCTGGAGGGCATGGAAGGTGTTTGCAGAATTTGGGGAGGGCAGCAAGCCTGTGACCAGGTTCCAAGGGCACCGAGGGCTGGGCCAGGCTGGTAGAGCATCAGAGGAGAGCTGGGACAGAGAAAGGGATCCAGCCAAGGTATCGATCTTAGGCCACCCCCACCTTGGCCACCAGAGGGGACACACTCAGGAGCTAGAATTTCAAGAAGGGATGAACCATAGTAGTAAAGTGATTTCCAGACATGCAAGTCCTCAAAAAATTTGCCTCCTTGCTATAGTCTGAATGTTTGTACACTCCAAAATTCATATGTTGAAATTCTAATCCCTAATGTGAAGGTATTAGGAGATGGGGCCTTTGGGAGGTGATTAGGTTGTGAGAGTAGAGCCATCATGAGTGTCATTAGTGCCCTTATAAAAAAGGCCCCAGAGAGTTCTTTCGTCCCTTCCATCATGTGAAGACACAGTGAGAAGACTGCCATGTTTGCACCAGGAAGTGGGCCCTTACTGGACAACAGATGTGCTGGTGCCTTGATCTTGCACTTCCCAGCCTCCGAACGCTGAGAAATAAATCTTCTTTTATAAGCCACCCAGTTTATGGTGTTTTGTTATAGCAGCTTGAATGGACAAAGTTACCTCCCAAGCACCTTTTCTCAAGAAGGATGTGTTCCACCAAAAGAAGCAAGGAAACTGAGAAGGAGGAAGACAGATACAGGAAAGAGGAGCCCAATCCAGAAAACATGACCAGGGAAGCCCGTGGAGGAGGGTGAGAAGTGACCTTGGGTGACAGCTCTGCAACAGACATGGGGGTGACTGCTCCCTGCTGCAGCAATGCCACCCAGGAGGTAGACTGTCATCACCAGGACCCCACTTCCATCAAGCCACCTTTTTAACTGAGGACAGAATACCCAGGAGGGCTTGGCTCATCCTGACCACGTGCTGATGAGGGTCTCTCCCTTCCTGCTCTGCTGAGGACACGCACATCACCCACAGAAGTCTCTAGCTTTTCCCCAAGAGCTGGAGGGAGGCCATGTGAGCTTAGGAGCAGAAGATACAGGGCACCCCCGCCCTGACCGTATTGCTGCTGCATGTCCAGTACCTACCTGGCCCATACCTCAGCCCTGCCAGGCGCATGACTGTTTCCTGAGACTCCCTCGTGACCTTGCTCATAACCTTCCCAGAAGGGGCCTTGTCAACACCAAGAGAAGCAGAAGTCAGACCAGGACCTGGAGACTGACCCACTCACCTCTTCCCGGAGCCTTTGTCCAGCAGGCTCAGTGCCGCCCTCTCCTTATGGCTAGTGCGTGCTTGCCCTCTGCTTTCAAAACTAGGCAGCTGTTGCTTGGGGACAGACATGGGTAGAGCCACAAGGAATGGCAAAGGAATGAGCAGTACGAAGGTCAAGAATGTCACCTCTCTGGCATAAGGATAAGAAACACTTCCTGGGTCTTGTCCAGATAAAAAGGCTCTGGCTTGTTTGTAAACAGTCTCCTAATCTCAGATGTTGCACTGGTCATGGTTTGGTCAATAAGACAGACTAGTGTAGGTGTTCCCAGCAAGACTTGCCCCTCATTGATTTATGAGGAGGCCTGGAGGGTGGCAGTCAGGGACAGCTCTGGGGACTCCAGGTTCCTGCCAGTTCTCTAGGGTTGGCATTTTGGAGGAGCCACAGGAAACCTCTGTGGCCACCACTGCCAGGAGTGCTGAGGTGGGTGAGTTTTAGGGAGTACCATCACAGAATCCCTGTCTGCTGAAGCCATGTTTCCATCTGCCTCTGTCAGAGAGAAATAAACAATATGATTTCTGCCCCTCAACTATCTTCCAAATCTCCTGTGAGTGCCGCTCACTGGTGGAATTTAACCTGGAAATGTAGTTCCCAGGTTTCCAACTTCTGGGATACAGGGGAGAGCATAGAAGAGAACGGAAAAGTTGCAGAGTAGCCCACAGGTAATCTGGGACTGAGGCCCGATTAGTCGTCAAGAAGATGTCATTCAAGTTATGTGACAGCACTTACGTAGGGAGCCTAAATTCCAACCTCACAAACCTTCAGAACTCTGCCTTTCTATCTTTCTGCCTGATTGTATTAAAAATCAGTAACTATAACAGACTCATTGGGGAAAAAAAATACAAATTTGGAAGTTTCACCCCTCTACGTGGCCTCCAGGCTGTGGGCAACAATCTTAAGCAGCATCAAGTGGCCCAGTTGCCTCCAGGTTCTGTGGACCCTCAGCCAAGTCTCAGATCTGCATTTTGTTGTATCCTGTAGAATAGCCCTCATTTTTGTACTAGAAGCATGTGGGTCACAGGTGATGCCAGTGGTTACTAACAAAGAGCACTGCTCCCCCAGACACTACTGAGCTCCTGTTGAGTCCTCAAAATGCAAAGTACACGTAAAGAATGAGGTTAACAAAATCCAAACACATGAGAAAAAAATTGTACGTTCTTTATTGTCTTAAAATTGCATAGTACTTTGATTATGCATGCTTTTAAATAGAGAGCAAGGTAGCCCACTTGACTCTCTTGCATGGGACATTTCAAGCTGTCTTACTACGGGCAGGAATCAGGAATCAAAATGCTTTCTGGGCTTAGCAAGAACCATGATCATATTAAACAGAAGTTGGAGAGTTGGGGATCTGGGCTATAGATGAGAAAATGTTGAAGGAAGCTGAGATTTGAACTGGACTTACAGGCGGCATGGGCAGATGGGTGGAGGGGCTTCCTGATGTCAGGGAATGGGATTCAGGAGCAGCCTAAGAGGAGGAAAGGAGCAGGAGTCCAGAGGGTCAATGCCTTGTGCTCAAATCTGAGATGAATGCCGCCTGCCAGGAACGAGCGTGGAGATGGCACACTGGGTAGCTGGAATGTGTAGTCTGGGCATTACCACAGCTACAGAAAGCCACATAGAAAAATAACTTAAAGCTATACAACCATCATTATAAATACTTTGTCTTTTAAAACTAACTAGTGTTGGTTTAAAAAGGTTCACAGTTACTCTAAAGAGAGCTGCATCTCTATTGCACAGTAGTGGAAAAGTTCGCTCTGATCCCCATGTGTAAACAATGATTCCCTTCTCCTCTGGCAACTTCAGGACACAGAGAAGCAATATTTGCTGTAAGCAAAAGCACTTGGGTATAAGGCACGTCGAAGCTGTCAAGCTCTATGGAGAACACACAAAACACGTGGGATGCTCACTTTCTCTTCCCACGTGGTATCCCTGCTGTTGGGATAGGTCTGGAATCAGGCTGAAGGTGGTGATGGTCTATCATGGTCTCTTTCTCATTCCACGGTTACAGACTTGGCTAGATTTCTGGGGAAGTCAACCTGAAATGAAAGAGAGTGCATGCTTAGGACCCCACAGAACTCAGCAACCTGCTCTATCTTAAAGACTGTCATCAGAGTGCTTGAAAACAAGGAGACAGATGTCCCTGGTCACCTCCAACCATGGGCTACCCAGAGACCTGCACCTTAGAAGCAGAGTCCTTATTCCAGAAGCTTCATTTAACTGTATAATGTTTGATTCATTCAATAAACATTTATGTGCACCTGATATATATCATGCTGTGTTAACACCATTAAAAGAATATGATCCCTGCTTTTATTTATTTATTTATTTTTTTTTTTCCTTACTCAATGCAGAGTGATGATCCCTGCTTTTAAACAAGTAGCTCAATTTGTACTGTTAAAAATTTACTTTTCTTGGAAAGATACACACAAATCCCATGTGACTTGTTAGTTTAGGGTAGGGGGTAGGAAGGAAATGTGATTGGGAATGGTTTAGAAAGTGGGCTTCAACTTTATCTGTAATGTCTTAATATGTTAAAAAGAGATG